TAATACAGCATCAGCAAACTCATCGACGTCAAGATCGTGGGTGGAGTACCAAACGGTAAAAGGACCTTGCAATCCGTGATTTAAAACTCGTCGCTCAGCTTCAAATGCGACTTGTATCATACTCTGCAAAGCTTCAAGACGTAATGCTCGTTTTCTTATCGAAGACATATGAAACTCACTAAATAATTAATTGAGTGCTAAAGTTGTTAACAATGGCGTGTATACAGTCACTCCAGATTGTATCAGACACACTTGCTGTGTCGAGCAATTGACTCGGGAGATATTTTTCATCGAGAATCTTTGAATAGACCAATTTGCAATCAAAGGGTAGGAGTAAAAGTGTGTGAGTGCATCGTAAACTGTTTCTATAGCTCTCAAGTCTCCACCTTCATCTCTTCCACTGTCACCATCTTATCCACAGTGTTTTGAGGACAGGCCGGTTCAATAAGTGGAATTTCTTGCTGCTTGATACATTGTTGGTACAGGTAAGAGGACCGCACATATATAACGGCTATGCTAAGCCAAATTTCAAACACAAACAATTGTATGGATGTGAAACTAAAATAGCAGACAATCATTCAATGGCAAAACAAATTCTTATTAGAAATATTTTCAAATTTGAATTTTCATCATTCGTTATATTTTGAGAAATACATCTTTCTTTGTTTTTGTCAGGCTGTATTTGATCAATTTCTAAATGTCACCATGCTTCAGACCTCTTCCACACACCACCACAAATGGAACAGCATGCTGAAATATCACAGGAATAAAATTGTTTACTGAAATTTATAAAGTCGAAATACCTTTACGATTAGGCTGACATTCTTTTCTCTGCGAACAAACGAAACCATTGCGTATGCAGATCAGACAACCATGTTACGACAGTATTGGCTGGTTTAATTCTAACAATTTTAAGCTGCACGAACCAGCCCGTCATTCTCCGCATGCTCTTGCGCAAGATTTGTATGCAAAACTAATTTCAGTATGATTTACGCGAACTAAATTGGAGCCTAATTTTCTGTTATAGTTGAGCGAATGAAAATGTGGTGCTAGTTTCTGTATCACTATTGTTAGACAATGTCCAACGTATGGTAATAAAACTGTGGTTGATGAATTTACACATTTATTTCCTGATCAAATGATTTATTAATATTCCGGACGGAATATTATATTACCTGGTCACATTTCTTAAAACTCGTCATTTATTACATCAGGATACTCCATTAATTGTGAATATTTTTTTCTGCAGCAAGAAGTCAAAAAATTTTGTGACTTTGTGATAGTTCAGGTTTACTTTTTTCTATTTACATCAAAGATCAGCAATGTATCCTACACAAAATAAATGTTTTCACCACCAACCAACATACATCAGCCTAATGACACATCGGTGCACATATATACTGCACAGTGTGCCACCCTTGTCGTTTCGGTTAGACCTTGTTTCCACGTATTTTTCACGGCTCGGCAATCGATACGACAGGTAGGAAGTAGCGAAGATACTTTGTTGGCACGAGTAGAGAAGGTAGAGGGAGTAGGAAACACAAATATCTACGGAAGATACGGAGACGAAATATCACGATTGCGTGAGAGACACACAAGGAATTTGAGACTATAACACTTGCAGAGGCAATCAATCGAGCCACTCGAGTCGAACAAAGTAGTTTGAAAAGTGAGTTGATTGACAGACAAGTCCAAATAAAAACTAGAATCTCAGTCAGATCCTAAAACATGCAATAGGGTCGTGACTCCCATTCTCAGCGACACAATATGCATCCTTTCTTCCAAAAACATGATGGATGTCACGTTGACCTGTGCTGACGTCACCGTGATACACTTCAATATAGGTCCACTATCAAAACGTGGTCGCGAAACAAAAACTAAGTTTTAAAACTGCTGCCATAAAAGCCAATTGGAGAGTATCAACAAAGCATTCTTGCATTGTTTTAGCAAAAAAGCTCTTGTTGTTGCTGGTGCACACCACCGAACGATTGGATGCCCATATTTCACCTTTCATAAAGAACATATGTACCTTCAGCGACCAAATAATACGACTCTGACAATCTACTTCTCTTCGTTTCGTCATCTTCGATTCATAATTACAGCAAATAGAAATAATCTCTTACTTGCGATGTCAAGCTGGTGTGCCTCATGAGCTTAACAACAAACGCCGCCCAGTTGTACTATCGAGGACGTGGCTATTGCAGTACGATATGTTTTCGTAGCCAGAATATTACTCGTTAAAGAGGCTTTGCGGCTAGCGGCGAAAATATTCATATGTGTTATCATTATTGTACGTATTCATTCCATATTCTTGTTTGGGCAGTGCCGGACACCATTGACGGTGTGGGTACAGCAACGCTGTTTACTGATCGTATCTTTCGACAACATGGACTTCCGGAGTCAATTGTCTCTGATAAAAACCCACATATACTGAGAAGTTTTTGTCGACAATCTTCAGTGTGCTGGGCACCAAGCTGACTATGTTAACAGCGGACCAACCACCGACCGATTGTCAGACTGAGCGCATGAATCGCATCCTTAAAGACATTTTTCGCAGCGTCTCGCTGAGACACCAAAGTACTGGAGCGCAATGATGCCATTCGTAGATATGCTCTGAACAGCGCGGTGCATTCATCTTCCGGCTACACGCTGTTCTACTTGAACGGGCTTATTGATTCTCGCGTCCCGCTGAAGAAGAAGCAGAAGAAATTCTGAAAACTTTGAGATCGAAGACCTGGTTTTATTTAATGCTATAAACCTTTCTCCATATGCAGTTTCTGCCGTCATAAAGACAAAGCTTCGTCCATGGTTTATTGAACCTCTTAAGGTCGTGGCCAAGCAAGGACTTGCGCATACGCTGAACCTTCCGAGAAGGATGCGCATCCATCCGATGTTTTTATGTGAGATTGCTTAACACTCAAAGCGTTGGTGTCGCAGCGGCGTCCAAAGGCGCTCGGCCACCCAGAAGCTGAACCAGCAACTGTTTTAAGCACGGATTGCAACGGTTTCCGTTCTCAATTGCGTTAGGCGCTCGACCGTCGCACGAAGTGACGCATTCATCTACTCGACGGCTAGAAGCCGCACCGAACAGAGCACAATAATTCTCAACGTGAGGAGTGAATGAACAAAGTGCTTCAAGCTCTTGAGGTCTTCTGGACAACGGTATGCGATCTCGGCAAGAATCTCGGCGGAGTGCCGATGACGACGGGCTTTCTCCTCTAACGTTCGAAAGGCATCGCGAGTCACCGTTGGTGATGGACCAATTTGTCATCATCCGCTACCGACTCTTCGTGATGAAAACGGGGACGACCACTATCATGTAGAATGCTTTGTGGGTCGACGTCATAAACAGGGTCAAACCCAATATCTTGCGAAGTGGCGGGGATACTCAAACTCCAAGAACTAGTGGGAGTTTGACGTGCAACTTCGGCACGACTGCCCAGACGTATGATAAGAATGATCATGACGCCTTGCATCGTCATACGCCCCGCGCTTCTTGGTGGTAGCCCGGGAAGCTGGGTGGTCATGAGCTGAGCTAAGTCATTCACATTTTTAGCTTTTTGATAGTTTTGAGCCGCTGTGGTCACCCGTGTGAGAAAGATCAGAGCTCGCGAAAGGGCGAAGGAATATTTGATATTTTGCAAGGGCGACAGTACCTAAGACGTCGGAGTTGCGCATTAAGTTTGTCAAATTTAAATCGAAGATGGCGTTTAGGGCGCACGTCCACTTCCGTGTGACTTTAATGTTAGTTAGACAGCGAGAAACGCTTCCGGTGCCGCTGCACCCATTGCTCAAAGAGCTCTTCATCATCTGCGAAAGGTTCCACCATGGGCGAGCACCATTATGCGGGAACAGAAGCGCCCCCTCTTTGAGTGCGAATTCGAGCGTGGCACCTATCCATTAGAATTTCAAGAGGTACCAAAAAGCCAGCATGGAGAGCTTTTCGTTGGTCAAGCTCGGCTTGTGTAGTGACCAGAAGCCCGACTACGTAGACGCCAAATGATCGAGTGATCGCGTCTTTTGCTTCAGTAGCGGGATTCGCGTATTCCTCACACGAGTCTAGGACCGACCGTGAATGTAAGAGCATGAGAGCTGTCCTGTGTGCAGCCTTCCGCTGTTTCTTCTAAGCCTCGTCGAGACGATTGGCAATAGTCCCACTTCCTCCGGAGATTGAGAGGTCATGTAACGGACACAAGGTCTGCAAGGCTCGAGAAGGGCTCACATCGCGCCGTTTGTGTACCTCGCCTTCCTTATCTTTCCATCTTGGGAAGGAGTATCCGACTCGTAATCGACTTCCTCCAAAACATTGCCGAGAAAATCCGTCGTTTGTGTTGGGCGCGTCGTGTGGCGCTCAGTTGCCGAGGGCTTGGAATGTGCTTCTCGCGAAGCCGCGGACGTACTGTCTGGAGTTGTACTGCGTGCAAGAGACGGAAAAGAGCTCTGCCCGCGGGTGCTTTATAAATTAGCGAGGCTGGGTGTTTTCGTATCATAGACACTTGGTTTATTGAGCAGAAAATGCGTGAAGTTGGTCTAAGGGACAACGGTGCCGCAGACACGCGAGCCTCGTACGAGGCAACCGTCAAATGTGGATTGTGAGAATCACAATTTTACTGGGGTAGAACATAACGGGGTTACACGTACCCTGATATGAAAGGGTGGGTCAAACAAGATGGTGTGACCGTACAAAGGTGTGGTCACACAATGGTATGGCAACACCGTAACAAGAAGCCACTACGTGGCGGGACTGTCAGTAGTTATGCATATTAATTAGATTTTACTATTCGATTAGAAAGCTAATATTATAGTATAGGCAGCACTACTGCAATTTAAACAGAGAAATACAGTCTCAATTTTGAACAAAATGGTACATTTGCCTTGGGTTGAAATCTTAAGAACCCTTGGAGGTAGCAGATTGCGATCCGCCACACTCATACTGGGCTTAGTATAGAACGTATGGTCGGTGGCCTTAGTAAGCATCGTCTAAGCAAATAGCTACGGTAGCCCCGGTGCAACGGCCGAGACCTAATCGTCGGCGAAGAGAGATATTCGATTGCTTGTCCTCGATGCGACTAAAACAACTTAAAAATTCTGATATCCCAAACAGAATAAAGGAGCTAACGGCCAAGGTTAAGCAGTAATCAG